CCATGTAGGGCTTTAAAGGTAATGACCAACACCTTGAATTGCATCTGGAGACCAATAGGTAGCCAGTGCAGCTCGCAGAGGATAGGTGTAACGTGGGTGTACCTAGGTACACCCAATATCACTCGCGCGGCTGCATTCGGGACTAGTTGCAGTCTCCTAACACTTTTCAAGGGTAGCCCCATGTAGAGCGCGTTGCAGTAATCCAGCCTTGAGGTGACTAGGGCGTGAGTGACTGTTTGGAGTGCCTCCTGATCCAAGTAGGGTCGCAATTGATGCACCAGGCAAACCTGGGCAAGGCCCCCCTGGTCACAGCCGACAAATGATGTTCCAGTGTCAGCTGTGAATCCAGGAGGACTCCCAAATTGTGGGCCCTCTCTGACGGGTGTAAGTTTTCACTTGTTGCCTCTTGTTTGTTTGTTTGTTTGTTTGTTTGTTTATTGGATTTATATGCCGCTCTTCTCCCAAAGGACTCAGGGCGGTGTACAACATTAAAAAAACCACATATTACAAAAGTTAAAAAGAAAATTAGATAGAGTATCCAAAAGTACCTTTGGGACAACCATGACCTGGATGACTGAGAATCCCCATAGACATAAATCTCATGTGTACATCTACTCCCAACTTAATCTTGTGAAAGCTACAGTTACAATTTTATGCTGTCCTATTTGTATATCTGTTTTTATCCAGGTGCGTTCCAAAATATCATTCCTGTTTTTTGAAACTAAGGGTTAAAAAAATTAGACACAGATTCTACTGATTACTCTGCTTCTACCCAATTTTGCAGAGGTATAGATATTACATAAAGTCTGGTTAGATTCTTTTTCATTTTTTTTTAAAGATCAGTGCATCAACTGGTGAGTTAACTAAAAATTCTGTATAGAATGGTGATAATAATTGGAAAAGAAAAAAATACACCCAGGAAATTGAAAGAAATCCAGATGGTGAGCATTTCATTGACACTGAATAAAAGCAAGATGATTTGCTGTTTTAAAGTTTATTTCTTTTTCAAACAGTTTATGTTATCTATCAAGTCAAGATGTATACAAAGCTTCTTACATTGCCTTAAACAATTAGGATTTTTTTAGGAGAAAAAATTGTCTTTCCTCTTCCAACAGGTCAGCCTCAAAGCCGTGTAACTGTCCAGATTCCTTCAGACTTGACTTGTATCCCGTTGCTACAAAATGGTGCTGGATATCTATCAGATGACCTCAGCAATTCTAAGGGAGAGACTGGCAATGGGATCTTATGTTCTGAACTTAGATCACTGTCAAGTTCCCAGAAGCCTCATCGGAAACTGCAGTCCCATCACTCCATCAACAGCCATATCAGCAAAAAAAGCAAGAGCAGCTCCAAATCAGCATCCTCGCAGATCCCTACTGAAGCACAAGAAGGTATCTTCACTTGGTCCTCTAAATGAGAGAGACCATGTTCCTACTTGGTCTTTTTATTGTGACATAATCCAAGAATAGTCTCCAGGACTGTAAAATTGGTTATACTTTGAACGCCCCTCCCCCATCTCCTTCAGGCAGTTGTTTAACTTTAATATGCATGGACTTCAACTCCCAGGCTTGCCCTAGTCAGCCATGTTTGGTGGAGGGATTCTAGGAGTTGACGTCCACACATCTTAAAGTTGCCACGGTTGAAAAAAACTGCTTTGGAGGGAAATCAGATGATTGCAGAAACTTAAAACAGGAGGAATAGAGGCAGAAGAGTTATAATGAAGCATATAAGATGAGAGGGGGGGAAGCATAGTTCTCATCCAATCTAAGACTGAAGAACGTTTTCATTTACATTAGTTTTGGATTTCGATCCCTTTAAGAATTTGTATAATTAATATAGGCTATCAGCTGTAGGTCTTCAACTGGTTCTTCACCTTGGGAGATTATTAAGAACTGGACCTGCTTTTTAAAACACGAGTCCTTGATCCCACAACATTGGTATCCTTTCCATTCAGCTTTATCCACTGACATGGCCAAAGGGTGGTGTAAGATATCCTGTATCTTTTGGGCTAAGGGAATTATTTATATGTCCACTGTCTTCGAAAGCATTAATTCAAAATAGGAAAGTTCTGGGTAGTCATGCCTTTATTCTTTTATCTTTGATTATTTCTGTGTCCCTGTTTGGGAATAGCATTTCAGGAATCACGATAATGTAATTTTGCTGTATATAAACATAAGTTTGGGGGAACGTTTTCTGTTTTTGAAACTAGGCAGGTCAGGAGTTTGAATTCCATTGTTCCTTTCTTTGTTTTGTCTACACACTTGCATTTTGTTTTTCAATATAAATGCCAAACTCCTGCTTCACTGTGTATTTTCCTCACCCTTGCAAATTGCATTCCTGAGTGCATTATGTTTTTTAAAAAAATGGTTTTTTGTGCAAATAGGGGAAGACAGTTAAAAAGAGAGTAAGTACTGTAAGCAAATACTCATTTATTTATGAGACGATTTAGGAGAATTGCAGTTGAAGCTCCACAATTCCTGAATCTTTCTTTTTTTGCAGCCTTTCTCTCCTACCACAATTCCCAAAAGCTACTTGAATGGTTTCCTGACATTTTAATGTGGGGAATGCAGATGTGTTATAGCCACTCATGCAGCAATCATTCAAACTTGCAACAATGCTGAATAGGGAAGACTCATGAACTAGAGTTCTAGTCATCCTAGTATCCCCACAATGGTCTGGGAGTTTGGCATGTGCCTCACAATTATGGTATCACAGTGAGCAGGAGCCCAGTAATTACAATTTCAAATATTCCCTATCGATTTCCCACAAGTCAAGTGGTAGCACAGTCACATGACATCATGCTTTAAGACTATGTTGCTTAGTGACAGCAGTTCCGGTCCGAATTTCCAAGTCCAAGGACTACCTGTATAATAAAACTGTCATGAAAATCTTAATATAGGCATCATCTCTATTCAAGGGTTCCAAAAATAAGGCACCTAGGGTCTAAGGTCCTGACCTTAAGTGAAATCAACTAAAAGTGAAAGTTTTATATTGAGTTTCCAGCCAGCCTGGATTCTTCCTGCAGGAGATCAGTGTTATGTGAGCAATATCCTTGAAGAACAAGGCTTATCTGGTACATCCTGTAGAGATTTTATAGCCACTTGTCCTTAAAACTCCCTCAAAATCAAGGAAAAGAACCCAGTACATTCTGCACAAGGATCTCATCCAGCATCACATCATCCATTGTAGTCAGTACTCCCCCAATTTTTTCCCCAATCTTTTTTTAAAGCACTGATTGTAAACCTTAATGTTGTTTCAAGGTATTTTTAAGACATACTTTCATTCTTGAATTTACTGGGGGGCTAGTGGTTATTCTGCCAGAGAAGCCCAATGGCAGTTGTTTCCAAGAAATTGATGGAAGGACTCTTTCTTATCTGAGAATTGTTGGACATCTGGCCCATCATGAAATTTGCTATATACCCTTGACAATGTGTGGTATGTTCAAAAGGAAAGCTCTGTATGCCTTCAGGGTTCTGTAAATTATGTCTGGGGAATTCTACCAGAAAAGCTAATGTTAGGGACATGGGGTGGGGGGGCTTTAGTTCTGCAAAAATCTAGGTGGACTACAAATACCCCTGTCAGTGCTATAAATAGTGAGACCAGGATGGGTTCATCAAAAACCCTACTATCTCTGGAATTTTATTGAGAGCTCAGAAGGCATTATCTTCTATTTGATACTCTCCTGCATTTTCTTATTATTTCTCCCCCTCCTGTTTACCTTTCAAAGAAAATCTGTAAAGTATAGAAAGATGGACTAGCTACACTGTTGATTGATAGTACTATGAGCTGTGCAACTGAAAGTACTCCAGACTTGTAATCAAAACTGCCAAAATATTATTAGAGGGGATTTTTGTTTTGCCTCCCAAATAATCACTTACTCACTCATACAGCCCCTTCAAAGACCACTAGTTTATATTCTGATCCATGGAAGCTAAAATTTTATATTATGAGGCCCAGCCACCGCCACCTCCATCTGCATCTGCAGGGTATTTACAAAATCTCCTAAGATTGGTCCTAGGAGCTTTCAGATGCTGGTATGCAATCGGTTTGTTTCAACATTAGTGCTCTTCTTGGCATCCTTAGAGCTTCAGAGTGATGCCTTTGCAGCATCGTGCTGTACTCTAGCTGTGCCAAAAGTGGTCCATCATTTCTCTTCTTCCTTCCCATTTTGATCCAGCCTTCCTGCCCTATTTCAGCCTCTTGTCCTTGGCTATCTGTGGCTGCTTTTGATAGTCTTGTCTCTTTCTTATTCCAGACTGCTGCGTCCACTGTATTCTCTCCTGCCTCTTCTGTGAGTTCCTGACCCTCTGCAACATCATGCTGGACTGTGCCACTTGTGGCTCCTGCAGCTCTGAGGATTCTTGCATCTGTTGCTGCTGCTGCGGCTCTGGGGAATGTGCTGATTGTGACCTGCCCTGTGACATGGATTGTGGCATCATTGATGCTTGCTGCGAGTCAGCTGATTGCCTGGAGATCTGCATGGAGTGCTGTGGCCTTTGTTTTTCTTCCTGAAGCCAAATCTTGATCCTTCAACAGAAGCTGTTGGAGTGAGACCCTTAGGTGAAAACTATGCTAATTAAGTCTCTGTTGTTCTTCTTTAGTTATCAGATGGCTGAGGTTTGAGAAGATCCAAGTTTAAAACCAGAAACCTGAATAGAAGAGTTGACAGAGTTAATTCTATTGAATTCGATTCTGGGCTCAGAAACTGTTTAGAAGATGTGGTTCTTTTTTTCCCAAGACAGCAATGAACAGTTTGAAGAAATAGCAGGATATCTCTATGGAGTTGTAGTCTTTATTATTTCTCTTTGCCCTCACATCAGAACTTTCCACATGGAGGCTGGGGAATAGCAGTGTTCCTGCTGCCTGAGCCAAATACCAGAGAAGAATAGTTGCACGACTAGCTATGCCAGTTGGTTAAGATCTGAAGCGATTACACAACACCAAAGATCATTGAAGATATGCCCAGGCTGTGTTTAGTATGACAATAAGTCATACTACTGGTCCAGCAGCATGGATTGTTACTGCTGCCTTATCTGATGCCCATTAGGTGGTAATTAGCTGCCTCCTGAGCATCCAAAGCAATGGCAGCTTACCTAATGTTTTCATGCAGTTGTTCTGGATTTATCCCTGGCACACCAACTAAATTCCTCCAGTAACGTGATGCAAGGAACAGCCCCTAATTCATCCATACTAATGTAGATCCACTTGGTATCTGTCAGCAATTAGGAGTGGATTTTTCCTGTGAATTCTTGGGTGGGACCCATATCTCATTCCTGCTGCTCCGTCTGCCATTTGTCTTTTGATAGAGACATGTCAATGTTGGCATTGTATCATTCCATGTGACCAGAACATGGCGCTCTTCATTTTCAATGTACAATGTTGAAGGCCTTTTTGCCACCGCTGAGATCTGTCAGGAAAAAGCTTTTGAACAGATTGGAAGAGATTATTGGTCTAAAAGAAGACAAGGGAAACTGCTGTCCTTTGCTTTTTCTCACAGCAGGAAAACACTAAACCTAACTCAAAGACACCGGATATGAGTCACTTGCTATTTTAAAAAAATCATATCCTTTTTAAAAGAAAATTGAAATCAAGACATCCAGTATCTTGGGCGAGTGGATGAGACAATTTGTAGCATGTAAGGCAGTCCTCTGCCTCTTTGTAGTCTGGGAAAAGTTTTATATTTTGTCTGTTGTTGTTACTGTAAATAAAAATATTTTTCACTTTTGACTTTAAATTGTTCAGTGTTGTGTACTGGCTTGGGAATTGAAAGTACTATACATTTCAGTTGAAATGTTTTTATACATAAATATAATGCCTTAATACAAAATATACATACAGAATGCTTCTTGTTGAAATTTAGAATGTACAAACTTCAACAATTTACATTCCTTATAGTGTAAACATGCAGGTCTGTGAGGGGAATTTACACATACTTCTCTTATATTATCAGCATATGAAATTGCTTTAAAAGAACTTTTTAATTTGCTTCTAGTTGCAGCTATCCATCAATAATGGGTCTTGAAAATGTGTCCCAAAATATTGTTTTAATACATTTTGCAAGAATCAGAAATGCTTCTAAATAGTGAATCAGTTATCTAGAATAGGAGTAGGAATGCAAACACAAATATATACATCAACTTCAAACTTTGAAAATAAAATCATGTTAAATTGTCTTAATTGAGACAATTAAATTGTCTCACCTACAATTGTTCACAATTTCAATCGCAAATTGACTCCTGTGGACCTTACTTCATACTTAAGTGATTGTAGAGGGGGCGTGCATAAGTGCACTAATGTGCCTATCGTCCTTGTCATTGTATTTTTATTCTCTTATTCTTGTTATCATTTTTGTTTGACAAATTCCAATAAATAAAATAAATAAAAATAAATGGCAAACAGTCATTTAAATATCAAATTCTTTCAAGGGCAGAAATTTTTCTTCTCTTTTGGGAGTTATATGAATAAAGGGTAGACCCAACATCCACCTTATTATTTACCACTCAAAAGGATATTTCATGTGCAATTCACCTTATATCTCTTACTGTGTTACCCTGTCTTATTTTCTTTTGACCCCCGAAATAAGCGCTTGGCTTTATTTTCAGGGAGATCTTATTATTTTGAGGTGCAGGAGGTGGTGAGCATGGTCACCTCATAGCTGCTGCTGTGTTGCAATATTTTGGGGGGAGGGTTTATTTTAGCGCATGCACTCAAAAGCCTTATTGGGGTTATTATCCGGGGAGGTCTTATTTTCAGGGAAACAGGGTAGAAGTATAAGATTTTTATCTTCCATTTCTTTTAATTACTTAATTTTCCCCCAATATAATTTTGCTACTCACCTGAACTATAGGCATGTCCTAAGCTTGGCCATATGGCTGGGAGAATTGCTGGCTTGGAATCCTGCAGACATGAGCAAGGGAAGAGTTAACCAGGGTTTAGGGAATTAATTAACAACAGATGTCTTTAGTTTCAATTAATTAATGTCTTGCCACATTTGGTTTTTACAGTTCCCTGGAAAGCCATTCTGCAATGACCAGCTGTTCAGATGCCAAGGCAAGCTCAGTGCTTACAGGGTTGGTGGCTCACGTAGTAACTGGGCAGGGAGTAAATGGGTTTGTTGTTCTTATATTTGTGTTGCGCCAGCTAGCAGACAAACAGACTTCCCCTGATGTTAGCAGAAGTGACGCATTGCACATCAGGCTTCACAGACAATTTCCCAAGGATTTATGGGTCAGCGGCCAGGAATAACTGCCACCTGGTACTGTGATTTTGGAGATGTTAAAACTCAGTCTGTATTAGAAAAGAAAATGTAGTGTTTTGATCAATTACAAAGGAAAGGAAGGCACAGATTCACAGATTTGTAAGGAAATTATTTTTAAAAAAATGAGGTTATTTATCTTCAACTGATGGTTCACATGTATAGCATGTGAGTAAGCACTAGTCTCACAGGGTTGGGGTGGGAAGATGCTTTTAAAAAGGGAATGGACAACCAATAACTCTGGGGCATATAGACTCATAAAGCAACAGAAGATTAGGCACAACCCCTTCTTCAGTTATACAGAGATGCAGACAGAGGAAAAGACATAAACTCTTTAGATTATAGGTTTTCTTTCCAAAGGATTTTGATCTACAAATAAAGACAAGAGCAGATTATTCAGAAGCAAGGAGATACCCTTATTAAAACACAACACCTTTAGAAACAATGTAGTCCATAGTGAATTGAATCATTGTCTATGCCAGGGGTCCCTGACCCCCAGTCCATGGACCGAGACCAGTTCAAAATATATCAGCAACCTGCCCCCGCAAACAAGTGAAGTCCCATCTGCAGGATGCAGGCAGTATGCAAAACAATGCCGCCTCCCATCCATGGAATTTTTTTTTTCAATGGAACAGTTTCCTGGTGCCCAAAATTTTAGGGGCCGCTGCTCTATGCCCATTAGTTTATCCCCAGTGCCCTACTGAGACTTGAATTAGGATCTCCTTCCAGAGCTTCCTGGATAAGAATATCCAGAATATTCTTAGAATGCCACCTAAGATACTGAAACTAAACTGGAAGTCATTCTTTGGTTCAGCCAGAGGTGAGTTGCTACTGGCATTACTGACAGTTCAGTGTGTGCACAAATTGCTCAGTTCACTTATGCACATGCCATTCGTGTGCTCCACGCACGTGCACAGTTGCCCATAAATAGGTCTGTGCATGTGCAGAACATTATAAAGTGGGGGGAAAAACCATGCGGTGCCAATCGGAGAACCAGTTCAGAGGCGTGGCAGGCCTGGGTCGCTGCCGGTTCCGGCAACCCAGGCCTGCAAACTACCGGTTCAGCCGAACTAGTCCGAACCAGTAGGAATCCACCTCTGCGTTCAGCTTATACATAATTTAACTCTTCCTTCTATCTGTGGCTTTATTCAGGCAATATCAGTGATGGCTTTAGAGAAAGCTACATCTAACACAAATAATGCACTTTTGATTTCACGATAGAAGATAAAAAGATCTAGTTTCAAATTATGCATCAGACAACTCTTATCCCATCTTCATTTTTCAAACTACCTTTTAAAGATTATTTTGCTTCAAGCAAAAAAAGTCATTTACATTAACTAACTTTAATATCCTGACCCTAAATCTAGTGCAGAGGCAGCTCAGTAGCATTCTTTATCTAGATTGCCACTGCCTATGTTCAGGTGGAATAACTGAAACAACACCTCACATTTTTGTGAACTATATCAGGTCTGGCAATTTTATTACAGTATTGTATTGCATCCAGTCTGTGTTTGTGCAGAGTCCAAAACTGTACAGTTTTTATTAGCAGATATTTCCACAGAAATGTCCAAAAAAGTCACTAGATTCTTCTCCATGGCAGTTGCCATCAAAAATCAGTGGGCTCAACCCCACCCATGCTTGGATTGGCCAAGTGTCATTTATGGGACTAATTCGTACTTTTCCAATGTCAGCTACCGCCTTATTGCTTATTAGTATTTCATTTACTTTTTGAATGTATGCATAAATCTTATTCATTTCTATGTGTCTTTAATTTATCCTAGTTGTTACTTATGCATTTCTATTTTTAATTTGCAATCTTTGACAAAATAAAGTTAAACCATCTCAGACGCTAAATTCCCTGGAATCATAGAGCTGAATGTCAATGTGTATCACAGAAAAATAGACCACAAATTCATAGTAATTTTGATTGGAACCAAACTGGTTGTAAGCACCCTTAGAAAAGTGTATCATATACTACAGTAGCAATAAATCCCAGCCACTCCACATGCTTGCCCTAAATTACTTGTTCTGTTTAAGGTTTACAGTAATGTTATTGTGATCCTAAACAGTATAATTTTTAAAAAGTTTGCCCCCTTGTCTTCTGAAAGTGTTTAAGGTGCAGTTGTTTCATGAAAGGAGAATGTAAACAAATATGATAATTAAGGGTAAACCGCAAACATGTTATCTTTTAGAGTTTACAGGTAGCAGCATGTTTGACCTTACCTGAACTTGGAAGGTAAGCAGGATTATGTTTGTGTAATTCTTGGCAAGTTACTATCTTATGGTTATTAAGAAAGCTATTTGAAGTCAGCAGGAGTCAAAATAATTTATTTTTTAAAAAGATAAACAGATTTCCCCCCACAATACAGCAGCACAATATAGTCACACTATATTATGAATATTTAATGTGAATTTCCCATCCAGTGTCTGTATCAGAGGTGGTATTCAGCCAGTTCTGACAGGTTCTGGAGAACTGGTAATAAAAATTTTGTGAGTGGGGAGGAAATGGGGATTTTGTTGTATCCTTTCCTTGCCATGCCCACAAAGCCACATCCACAGATAAAAGTAAAAAATGTGAATCCGACCACTGGTCTGTATGTAGGGTTGCAGCCACAGTAGAATAATTTGAGATAATGCAGCCAAACATTTGATTTAACTGTGCGAAAAATTATTTAAGTCACACATCATAAAGTCATTGTGAATGGCCTTGATATTGTCATTCTCTTGTTGCATGAACTTCTTTCAAATAACAAATTAAAATTGTGAGGATGAAATGAAACAAAATTGCAGAATGAAGAATAAAAACAAGGAGGCAGAAGAACTTGAATACATATAAAAAGAGTGTTGAATTTATTCCGCAAATATGTTTATTGTGAAACACTTTCCATACAAAATTTCACACGGTGTGGTATCCTTTTTATTTCTTTCCCAGGAGAAGTGTTCTTAATAGTAAAATTCTGTTGATATTTCAAGTGCAACTTGATGAGCCAAGATCAGATCAAGATCTAAATCCTGAAACTAATTTTTATCCCTTTCAAACTAAAGGAATTACTGTATGATATTTGTCAAAAGATCTGATCTTTACTGAGATTATGGTTTGACTTCCTCTTTGATCTACTCTTATATAATAGCAATATTGATACTCAACAAACAGATAGGACATGTTGAAACCACAGGGTCTCCTAGCACTGTAGCAAATAGATATACATTCACATGCAAGAAGCTCTTAGGGAAAGCTTTTCCCCCATGCAGTGCTTATTCTATCAAGAGAAGACAGCCAGATGGACGATATATTTATTGCCTTGGTCAGCATCATAGACAAATGAGAGATCATAACTACAGGAAAATAAATATCCCCAGAGCCTGTAAATCCCCTAAATTATTTTTGTCACTCTAAGAACATAAGAAATAGAGATTTAAAGGGCCAA